AGAGAGAGAGAGAGAGAGAGAGAAAGAGAAGAAAGGGCTCGACGAAGAAAAGGGCCGGCGACGGTGTGGGCGCGGGTAGGAGGAGGGTGTGAGGATAGCAGAGGAGGGGTGGGCGGGCAGGGGGATGAGGGAGAGGAAAAACAGAAAGAGGGCCGGCGGGAAGATGGGCGGCAGGAAGAAAGCGAGAGACGGAGATCGAAAAAGAGGACGATGCCCCCTTCTCCGGCTCGGCTCGAGGTGGAAAACTTTCTAATCGAGAATTATGAAAGTTATTTGCTATGCCGGGGCTTTGGAAGAAGGGTGGCCGCCCCGTCGGTGGGCAGAGGAGAGCGGAGGAGAGACGGAGCGAGAGCTTGAGAAGAGAAACGCACAAGGATAAAGGAAGAAGGATGAAGGACTTAAGCGGGCCCGAGATGAAGAGCTCGGCAGAATCGGAAAAAAGGAAGGAACGCCCAAGGCAAATCGGTAATTTCGTTCTGCGCGTGCGGCTATGATATTTCCAACCGTTTGCCCCCCTCGCTCTCCCCCCCATCGCCCCCTTCGTTCCCAGCGCTCCGCGCCCACGCCGCCTTGCCGGTCCGCTCTCTCACCCCCCTTGTCTTCTCTATACCACCCCTCCGGAGAAAGTAGCTAGACTCTCGAGCTCTGCAAAAGACAAGGCCGGGCGCGGGTGGCAAGTCGCGGGGATAGTGGCTAGGCAGCGCGAGAGAGGGGCCGCGGGGGGATGCAAATTAAAATCCTCGCCATTTTCCCGTTTCTTATTTTCCGCGGTGGTTCTCAACCGCGACCGAGGATAGCACCGCGACTGATAAGTCTCAAGATGCGTCTCGGTGTGTCGCGTGGCGCACTCCACGATATACGTGTCATGTGTGGCCGTAGAGGTCAACAACATGGAATGCGTATGAATCGCGCGGCGCAGTATGAATGGCGCCGGATTAAGAATGAAACTGCGAATTTGAGATGCGAATTTCTATGAGCCGCACACTCGCTGTTGATGCGAGTCTCACAGGAACGCCGTAGCTCGCATCTTACGGCTGACCAAAGAATACTTTTCTACTTGCGGCCTCAATCGTGCGAGAAAAACACGAGAAGCCAACTCGAGAAGCATCTTTCTTTTCCGCGTTGTTTCTTCGCACGTGACGGTAGATTGTTTCTCCAAGTAACGATCGCGTATTCAAGATCGGGAGAGCGCGTACCGCGTTGGTGAGGAGACAGTCGTCGCCGTCGCTGTCGTTGTTCGCGACAACAGTTGCATTTGACAACCCCGCGCGCGGCCCCGGACTAAGACAGATTAAGTATTTTAAATTGAACAGAGGGAGACGTTCTGCGGCGGGGGCACGGGGTTGTCGGAAGGATTGGTGGCCGGACGAGAGGGTGGACGCGGGCCGCGGGGGGCGGTAGCTGTCGGAGTCGGGGGCTTTTTCCCTCCTTATCTGCCTCTCTTCGTTCTCTCCTGGCCGGAGGGAGTTCAGTTTTTATAATAAAGGACCGTAATTAATGCCGCCCTCCTTCCACCACCGTCTCCATCCGCCTTCGCCGTCTCTCTTCCTTCGTCATCCCCCGCGCTGGCCCACCCAACCCCCCCGTCAGTTCTCAGCGGCTCCCTGCGCACAGAGAGGGGGAATCGAGAACCGCCCTGGGCTCGACTTTTTCTTCCGTCGAGTAAACGGCTGCGAGAAGTGTTTCGCCGTTTTCGGCTTTCTTTCACCGCGATTCCTGCTTCAAGGCGATTCAACGCGCGAAGACGCGCAAGTACTCTTTCGGGTACTTCGGAAACTCAAGCGCGACACTCAGACTCCGCAGTCGCGTGAGAAGATAATGTCCAATGTAAGAGAGAAACATCGCGAAGACGATTTGTTTTTCTCTTCTCCCCGGGACACCGATCGAGGATCGATCGCGGATCAGTGGAGCGTCGAATCCGTAAAATTCCCATCTTATCTCGTTTCCACGCCCGACACCTCGGCTCGGTACACGCGACTGTTTACTCGGATGCGAACGTACAGTGTAACGCCGTTGATAATCCGGCGTGTAGACATTAGCTAAATCGGCCGTGAAGCGACGAAGTAGAGTGCGAGGGCTGTCGTTCGATTGCATCGATTTAATTTCACATCGCGCGCGCGGTAACGCCGCGCGCATTGTAGCAATGCGGTCGTCGTGAGTCCATTACCTTCCTTCACCGGGTCATACCTCACCCACCCCATCCTCTTCCCTCCTCCCTGCCTTCGATCCTCCCGGGAGATTCCTGAACTCCGGAACTTGAGTCTCTGACACCAAAATGGATGCTTTTGATACGCGCGATTTATCTTACCCGCCGCTCCATCGCGACGCTCTATCCCACCGCCTTTCGACGTGCACTCGCTCCTTTCCTCGGAGAGGGACACGTCACAGAACAGTCTAAGATTGTCCGCGAGCGCGAATCTCAGCGCGTTCCTTTCGATGCTGCTCTCCGAAGTTATTCGTGGGTTGCATTCCAAAACGTTCTTTTTGATTTTACTTGATACTTTATAGTATATATGACATGAATTATAGATATTGAATGAAGTTTTCCTCAAAAAGGACGTTGTGCAACGCAACCTTGGAGAGCGAAAATTTGCTCGAGCAACAGAGTGACCGTCGAGACACTCAAATTCGAACAATTTTTCACTACTGTGAAGTGAATTCTCCACTCAAAATTGTAATATCTTCATTCAATATGGAAGAGTGAATCCGACATATCCTTCTTGTACAATTTCACTTTAATCGATTGAAACATTCAATCATTTGCAGGCAGAATCCACTCGAATAAGCTCGAGTGAAACATTCACTTTTACAATTTCCAGTGATAGTTCTTTCACTTTGAGTGAATTTTCATTCGCTTTGAGTGAGATTTTGGCTTTCTTCATAAAGTTTTATTTTCTTATCTTACTCTCTACATCTCTTGAATTGGAATTTCACTCAAAACAAGTGAAAAATGGCAGTATTTTCACTCGAAGTAATGGTGGAAATATCGCCACTCAAATTCGCAAAACTAGATGCTTCACTTAAACTCAGAGTGGATCTTGATTTCACATTAACGGATGTTTCGATCGATACAGTGATACATTCACTCTTACAATTTCCAATGATAGTTCTTTCACTTTGAGTGAATTTTCATTCGCTTTGAGTGAGATTTTGGCTTTCTTCATAAAGTTTTATTTTCTTATCTTACTCTCTACATCTCTTGAATTGGAATTTCACTCAAAACAAGTGAAAAATGGCAGTATTTTCACTCGAAGTAATGGTGGAAATATCGCCACTCAAATTCGCAAAACTAGATGCTTCACTTAAACTCAGAGTGGATCTTGATTCCACATTAACCGATGTTTCGATCGATACAGAGTGCAGAATTCATTCTATAAGAGTGAATAGGAGGATGCCGAAAATATATGAGAACCTCGCCCACTATGGACAACGAACAAACCTACCTACGCCAAGTTATAGTTCCCTATCTGTACTTTAATTCTGTCAATGGGCACTTTCCTGTATGTAGTGTGGCCGAAAGGATATATAGGTGGTTAAAGTGGTCAAAGTTTCAACACGTTTACTCTTATATCTTCCCAATGTCTTTATCAAATTTCATCAAACATTGAAACATTGAAACATTGAATGATCGCTTATTAGTAAAGAAGCAATTATTTTACAAAGTCAGAAGCTCTGAGTCAGACGACTGAATATTTGACTCAATAGGGATATAGCAATCGAATCGTCTGGCGATCCTAGTTAATTTTAGTTTTTAGCTAATTGCTTTTCTTCGTATTTAATTATCTTCATATGCATTTATTTATAGAAGGACACGCACTCTAGGATATGTATTTAGGGACGCGGATGCTATGGGCGGATGATATTAACGTGAAAAAGAGCAATTTTTATTTTTCGATTAGAATAGAAGACCTAAAATCATTGGATGTGAATTGATCTATGTATATAAATCTCTTATCATACATATTATACTCTGAATATGATCGAAAACATTCTTCATTTTCGCGAAATATAAGTATTTATACAATGTAATTTTGAAGCGCTATATCTCGCTTCAAGCATTTTGGGTAGAGATGAACTCAGGAGCGAATTTAATGTACTCAAGGAGTACTATCTTTTGATATAGGTGCCTGTTCGTTTTGGACATCCTTCTTTATTCAAATTCGAATGATTCGCGGTGATCGTTGCATTCTTCGAGGAAATTTTCACTCCAGGAAATTCGGAGAGATGCGAAAGATGTTTCCGCGATCGCTGAAAGAGTGAAACGCCGTTCCACGAGATCGGGGATGACCGATCGCGCCAATTCCGGTTCTCGAGCCGAGAGTATCGCGTAACATCGAAGGGAGGAACACATGCCGGTCATGTTGAAGCGTACAGTAACGACCGGCACTCGAGAGCTAATGCCGTTTACTCGCCGTAAAGGTCCCTCTCCCTTCTCAGGACGCGCTCTCTCGCACAGCGCAGCCGGTCTCGCGCGGCGGCCGTTAAAACGTCCGAAAAATCCCGGGTAGCCGCGCACGGAAACCGGTTCCGCAATTTTTACGGGGTCATCCGGGTGCCGCGAAGGGTGGGGAGGTCATCTCATTGAGGTCAGGCAAAGGAGCGGCGCTCTCCCCTTTACGCAAGCCGGCAGGCCGGCCGCTCGCACGCTCGCTCGGCCGGGCATCTGGTCATCGGAAATTAAAAAGTGCGAAAAAACTTACCTGACCAGTTCTACACGGCATTACCCCTGGCATACCGGTGCACACGTGGACAAACCGTAAGGGTTATGCTAATGCGGAAAGGGCCGTTTTGGGCCGCGCTCCCTCTCTGTTCTGCCGACGTCCCTCCCTCTTTCTCCTGCGAGCGACCCTTCGTGCAGGCCGCGCTCTCCGTTACCGCCAGGTAGGGTCACTTTTGAGAAACGGGTTTTCGGATTTTTTCGCGACGATCAAAGGGCCCGGCCGTCGACAGAGGTGGGGGATGGCGATCGCGCGCCGTTTCGAAGGTGAGTTTCAGAGCTTACGCCGTGCCGGACACGCACGGTCTCGCGGCGCAGAGCTCGCGGATCCGATAACCGGATGTGTATCGTGAGATCGCGGATTTTCTCTCGGCGCACATTTGCGACTTCGCTTTCGAATTCTTCTCCATTCGGTAGAAGAGAAGCGATCGCGACGGTGAGAGATGCCGGTGGCGAGTCGGAGAGCCGCAAACATCGCCGGCGCCGTCGGCGGGCGCGACACGAGGGTGACGAGATTTCAAGTTCGGCGTCGAGCTGTATCGCCTCCACGTGCGATCGACTTTAAAGTTTCACTTCAAGTGCGCAACAGTGCCGCTTTAAGCTCCCTGCGGTAGTGTGCTTTGATTCCGTTCGTCGCACTGTTGGCTGGCCGAGTCGCCGATGACGACCACGACGACGAAGACGACGACGACAGGCGACGTTAACGGCCGACGATCGTTGATCCTGTCACCGAGTCGAATCACGTTCTTTGTAGGAAGAATGCACAGGCCACCGTCGCGGCTCGCTTTTCTGTCGAAATCGATGGGACGCGGCGGTCGGCACGTCGCTCTGAACGCCGATCAAATATTTATCCGGCAAACGGCCAGCTTTTCCGAGTCGCCGATTACGGAGATATCCGTTGCGCGAGCGTTGCCGAAAGAGGCGCTTAGAAGTACAGTTTACTTCGTGCCGAGGGATTCGCGTACGGGCGTCTGCATGAACGGACCAAAACCGCGGCGGACCTTTGACCATTCGTGCACCTTCGGTTGTAAGGGCAAAGAGAGAGATGGAGAGAGAGAGAGAGAGAGAGAGAGAGAGAGAGAGAGAGAGAGAGAGAGAGAGAGAGAGAGAGAGAG